AATAATAAAATGTAAAATTAGAAAAACAAATTTAAATGAAAAATGTACACAAAAGTTGTGGCATTAATGTACTAATACCACTACTAATATTTTTCTAAACTACAGCAATTGTTACTATTATATTACACGTATATCCTCTAATTATTATTTCATTATTATTATTAATAGTCTTGTTTTGATAGAAAGTCACAAACTGTTTTCACTTCTTCTCCAGTGATACGATACTGAGCTCTTGCTTGTATCTCTGTACCACTGAAATCCATGAATATGCTAACATCTCTTTCCTTTCTCAGTATATTATCAGGATTAGGAATATCAAGTACCAGTTCACCAATCTTACGAACTGTTAGTTTACCTTCTTTATCTATAACATACTGAACTCCATCATCTGTTGTACAGTATATAGAAATGCATACTTGTGTGTAGCTGTCATGGGAAGGTATTAATGTGGTCTTATAAACTTCATCCTTTATTACTTCTCCTTTGAGTACAAATACCTTAAAGACATTGTCGCAGTATTGCTGACCATCTTCACCTACATACTTGTAGTGTTCATCATGCATCGATAAACTAAAGAAACTAAGAACACCAATCCCATAAGTAGCATCAGCAACACGTGATTGGATTATGTTAGGATCTTTCCTCCACATTACTGCTCCTCTTACAACAGCAAGATCTGTTTGTATAGGACACACTATATTACCACAGTGCTGAGCAATAGCTTCTTTTATCTTTTGACTGACAAACCTACACCCTCCAAACCCTCCTACTAGATAAACTGTATCAATATGATCTGTTAGCTCACCAAATACTGCTCTAACGCACTCTATGATCTTATCTATTGTAGGTTTGAATATCTTCTCTTCTAATTGGGCATATTTCATTTCTAATGCACTTTCTCCAGGATCATAGTGCACCTTCTCCTGCTCCATTCCATCACGGATTACATTGCCTCCATAATTTCTTATGAAAGGTCTTGGTAGTTCAAGTACCATTTCGTCAATGCCTGGTGTCACATTTCCAAATAATTTTTTCTGTTCCTCAAAGTCTTCATAGACCAGCCTATTTATTTCAGCTTTGTTACTAGCATTTGATTTTATGAAAGACTCAAAACCTTTATCATCTACTGCCTTTTGTAGTAACATTGAAAATGCTTCATTGATGGTTCTTCCTCCCCAGGTGTTACCCATTGGTGGTAGTACTACACTAATTCCCCCATTACTCTTATCATGTACAGTAATATCAACTGTACCTCCTCCTATATCAACTACCATATATCTCTGTGGAGGTGTTCCTGATACTGCTCACTGATGCTGTGCATATATAGCAGCTACTTCTGGTTCTAGAGCTAATGATAGCTTCTCAGGATTAACCTCCTCTGGACGTGGTAAAGGGGAACCAACTGGAGTGAACCTTGTTATACCAGGAGCATCAGAAGTGAGACCAGCCTATCATATTAACATAATGAAATACAAAGCATGTATTAGGTTACCATATAAGCAGCTTCTCTCATCATTCTTCTTGCTCTTGCTTTCCATATAGCAGGAACAGTAATGACCCAATCAAAATCACTTGACTTGTAGTTCCCTTTCAGATGATCAGTGAGTAGCTTCTCCTTGAGGTGTGTTAGTATAAAAGCTATAACTTCAATGAGATAATAAGAACCACCAGTGAATGAAGAGACTTCAGTAGTACGATCTAATGACTAAGGAATAAAAGCATCAATAATGAAATGATAGACAATTACAATATTAACTCACTTTATCTCTCTCAAGCAAATTCTTTTTTTGTTCAAAATATATAAACTTTTGATTATCTTTCCTCCTACCACTG